ATCTTATACAGAATTTAACGCTCTTCAAAATGATAATAGCCACTTTTTAATATTTTTCATGTGGAAACACCCTAATATGCATTGATATTTTTGCCATTACTGACTAAATACACACAAATATAAACTGAATGTTAGTGTGTTGCTTCGTTTTCAATCCGAAGAGTTTCAAGTCAAACCATGAAAGCAGCGTAGACAATATTGTCTGTTCTTTTGTCCAAACATCCTTTTCGATTTCAAATCAACGCAAATGATTTTGGGTTTTCGAAAGAAAAAATTTACCTGTGTTCCTTTTTATTCATTCCATTGAAAATAGAAAAAAAAACCTTATCGGCATTGTTTGTCTTCAACAAAACTCAAATTGCTTTTCTTTAACAACAAGGATAGAAGTACAACAACTGCGATGGCATTGCTTTTTCTGGCTTGCATTTTGAAACGTTAAAATGAATTTGAACCACGATTTTTATTTCTCTTAATTTTAAATTAAATTTTAGCACCAAACCGATATAAATAAAGAATGACCATGAATTTATAGTGAGTCGACGTAAAAGAAAGTGATCGTTGACATTTTTATATTTCTGTTGTATAATCAAGTGCGAGTTCTTTTTTCGCAATTTAAAAATATGCTTCATTGCTGGGTTTTTGATCATTGTCATCGTCTGCATGCTGTAGGCTGAATGTCGACAGTTTTCGGCTTCCTTTTTTAATCACTGCTGAAGGAGAAACACACCGAAAGCATGGAGGTAAACATCATATCTTGTGTGCAGCGACTGCTTGACATGCACTCAAATGTATACATTTGTGTTGTATAAGCAGCGAAAATTCCAAAACGGCAGGTGTGCATTTTGTGGAACGCAGAAAGAAGGAAAAAAATCAGTTTTTTTTTCAGTTCAGTCTCTTTTGCTTCAATAATAAATCTGTATGTAAACGTGTATAACGAATTCACTTTGTATAACCACATGCGTGGAGTATGCCAGCTTGCTTGTTCCGTCTTACTTCTTTCTTATCGTTTTTTTCTTTCTTTTTCCTTTGGCTTTACTTCTTTTCTTTTCTCTCTTTTTCGCCGGACAAAAATTTCGTTTGATTGGTTTTTTGTAACGATTTTTTTTTGTATTCTTCGACGCGTGCATTTTTTCTTATTAAAGTTTCTCTCAACGGTTTAAATTGGGGTATTTATTTATTTTTACTTACGGAAACGAAACTGCATGCGCTATAAGCAGCTCCAATTGACAAGGCAGATACACCGAAATACGACTTGTATGAATCAGTTGACATAAAGTAAGCCAATACAACAATAAATGTTAGGATCATTTCTACACCAAAGCGTTCCCAGGGTCCTAAATTTGATGTATGTGCGATGGCTGCTTGCAAATTGCCTTGATAGCCCGGAACCGTTACTCTATAAAGAAAGAGAATTAAAAAGATCGAAAGGATTAGATTTGAAGGAATCGAAAAGGAGGAATTAAATTCAAAAAGAGAATAATATTTATTTGTCATCAAAAAAAAGTTGAACTCCGTTATGTCATGACGAAGACAGAAAGCACCTGGTTTAATTTGGCTTCCGATGTAATTTTAAAATAGTAACGGGAATAGTTTGATTTATTCAACATGTGATTTGAATGCATTACAAAATGGATTAGTATGCATCACTTAAAGTTAGGAAATCCGATCATGAAACATCATTTGCATGAGCATGACGAAATATCAATAAAAAATTATCTGTACACGCCCAGAATGAATGGCAATCGAATTCTGCAGAAAATCAATTTGAATGTGAACGATTTGTCCATTTGATTGTATTCATTGAGTTTTATTCGAGTGAAAGTGGAATTAGATTCATTGTTATATTTGTATACATTCCAGAGAGGGGAAATAGTCGTGATATTCTCATAGCAGAAACACTTGTACGTTTCTCTGTATCCGAGAGCACTTCAAATTTGCATATAAAGTAAGTATCAAATGGAGTGGTTAAGCTATCGTTAAACTGTGTGTGACGGGTGCTTGCATATTTGTGTCCCTTTTTTATTTGGATTATTTTTTCGTCAATCATTTTAGCACATCATTGACCCATGAGAGCCAAAGTAAATCGATAAATCAATTGTTTGACCTTTGTATATTTGAGGGCTAAAAAACAAAATGCTTGTTTTATTCCCAGTTTTTTTTTGATCATCATAAACAATGTGAGTCAATCAACCGCAAATAAGCCAGTAAAAAAATAATATAATCTACTTATAAATGCATAAAAATTGCGGATCACTACAGGCCAAATACATATATCGCTACTAGTTTGTGATTCCATTAGTATTTTATTGTTGCCGACAAAAGGAACTCGAACACAAAAAAAGTATGATGCAAAGAAACGCAATGTGTGCAAAGCAGTAAATAAATACTGTGTAAGTCCAATATGTCATTGTGTGAAGTGATTCGCAAAAAAGGCACCCAACAAATTCTCAATGTGTTAGCAGAAGGAATAGCAAATGGCAACAATTTTTTTCCATCTACCATTTGACGCGTTTCTATAAAAATGGAACAGCGCCAGAGCTCATCAACGGAATGCTAAAACGAAAGAAGAGAAAATGCATTCTGAGACATCACAAAGATGATTCGCCTCGACGGCACCGCAACAAAACGACGAAACCAACCAGCCGAAAAAAGTAGTTGTAGCAGCATGTTTTGTAGAGCTACGTAACCTGATTTGTGAACCATAAAGTCTGCTACAAATATATTTGACCCTATATGTGTGATGCATACAACCGCATATGTACTCTATTTGCCACATTGTTCGTCCTGACGCTCTGCCATACGCTGTCATTTTTTTTTTGCTATTGTTTTGTTTATTTGCATATTCGTTTGTTTTATGTCGCATGCCCACATTTTCTCTCCGCTCACAATTGATGTCCGCTCACTCGTGCTTCAATCGCTTTCCATGCAGTTACTTTTTATTAATATTTTTGTTATTGTTATATGAATGCATTGCTAACAATCGACGAGCGATGCGTGCAGTGGAAAAATGACACAGTCTGTGGTTGTTTCTTAATTTATTTAACACATGCACTCACTACACCAAAATATATATTTTTTGTTACGTTAGTGTCGTGACTATCGAAATACGTTTGGTTTTGCTGGTGCAATACAACAAAGGGCGTGAAATGAAAACGACTCAATAAAAATTGACATCGAAAAAATATCAAAACAATGCAGATTAGATTCTAATGCAATTACGCGACGCATTTTGTCTATTTGAATTTTATTACTTTTTTTCGATCGAACCGCGAATCATCACATATGTCATAGTAATAATGCCGATTGCTCTTTTTGTTCTCGATAAACACATACACACACACGCAATGGAGTGAAATCGAAAGATTTACGCTCCTTAAAGTTTCAATGTCAAACGTGTTTTTTTTCATCTAAAATTATACTGTTATTATGTCATTTTGATATGTAGCCATTTCTTGGAATGATGGGTCGTTTTTATTGCCATTCATCGAACGAAGCAAATGGCAAAGGCGGCATCAATGCAATTTAATTTCATTCAAAGTTTCTTTATGTTTACGCAAGAGAAGCGTTCCTTTTTTCAAAGCGTATTTCTTATGTGCAGAAGACAGCTGCTTTTGCATTTATTTCCTTTCAAAAGTGGCCGGGGTCTTAATTCCAAATACAAACAAACGATGTATTCTTTTTTCTATGTTCACAATTCGATTCTAACATGCATTCGACGAATCTGACAATAAAATTGAAGAAAGAAAAAAACATTTAACAAGCACAAACAGTTCAAAGATACTGAAATTAAACACAACCGTTGTGCATTTATAATAAAATTCAAATTACAAGGTGTTATTTTAGTTTGAGACGTTTTTTAACTCTTTGACCATTTCAGTAATACTCGAGACTGCTCATTCGAATGGACATGTGCAATAGATTTCTAATATTGTTTTTTTTTTTTATTCACGCGCCGTGAATATTTCTTTGGAACATGTGTTTTTTCAATTTCAAATTTTATTCAGTCTCTTTTTTTCGGATACCAATATTTTCAATGAGCTCACTTTCAAGTGAACATAAATTCTCAATTTTCACTGCGACTAAGAAAATAAACTAGTTTTTGTTCAGAAATGTGGTTCAATTTAGATTAATGGAGAAAAAAAAGTGTATGTTTGTATGACTCGTTCAAATGAAGTTATTAATTTTGAAAAGGAAAGAAAAAAATCTTTCACTTCATGCATTTGTATGGTAAAGTGATGTTTATTTCTTGACATCTGCTGCCAATGAGTTAGAAAAATAATATTTTTTCCGTTTCGAAAAAAAGCGCGTCTTTTCATTTTATTTCCCACTCAAAATAAAGAATGTATATGGCTTTGGTTTTTTATACTTGAAATGGAAACAAATAAATTATTTGCCCCGAATATCGGAAGAAAGATTCATCAAAAGGAAAACAACTAGTTGCAAGCAAAAACAATCTTCATATGGGGCAATTAAAATTGCACCAAATGTGATTCAAAACGAAGTCGGGTTCAAATATTTAGATTTCAATAATGCAAAAATAACTAACATATTATTAACCCTTGACACTTAACCATATGACAATTTATTAGATGGTTAAAAAACAATCTATGGGTCATAAAAAGTGAAGCCATAATCTTCTTCTGGTTCGTTAATACTCGTGGCTGATAGCTTCGAAAACTAGAACAGATTGTGCATATGATATACATAAAAAAAACATCTAACGAGACATACACAAAAAAATAGTACGACGCGTAATCAAATAAATAACATCCCAAAGTGCAATTGTTATATAGGTTAACATTTACGAGAGAGTAGATTTATGTTATGCAAGTTTCCATTCCATTTCGTATGTTTCATCCAAAAACACACATTTTTAGGGTTAAATTTGAATAGGATAAACACAAAGAGTGCCAACAACAATAACAGTTCACTGCAACCCCTTTCCATCGTTTAATCTATACTCTATTGAATCTAGTTCAACTCATCTGACATTAGAAAAGGTGAATAAAAGAGACAGAAAAAAGATCATAGACTTAATAAAAATGACGATTAGCTTGACTTTTTTGTTACTGTAGGGGTAATTTTCAGCTTGACTATTTCGAAGCGGATATTATACGGCGTCGATTTTATCGAATGAATAGAAATGACGATGAAAACCATCCTCTTGGATTTTATATTAAGATAAAAAAAATTCGGATTTCAGAAAAAATCGACATAGATAAAATCAATATCCATAGAATTTTCAACAGCAACAAAAAAATTAATACCAAAAGATGATTTCAAATAACGTCTTCATACGGAGATGTGTTACCAAACGATTCTATATTAAACAAATATCTGTCGAGATTCTTCCCGCTCTGAATACATATGCAAACGCAAACTTTTGAACATCCGATCAACATATTGCCATTCAAAATATTCGCACATAAATTCGTCATAGTAATTCAAAATGTTAAAATAAGTAATATCAAATCTATTCAAACAAATGCTAATCCCGGCAAAGAACTAATGCAAATTTTCCATTTTTATTCGAATTTAAATACATTTTACGGTGAATGTGAATAATTTTCATTTCATGTAAATCATTTTTATGCCATTTTGAACGACATTTGTGTGAATATAAATGTTATACAAGGCAATCAAAAATAAGGCATCTTTTAATGTGCAACACATAATTAACAGTATCCATTTTAAGTGCAATTAAATTGCATTGTCTAGGGAAAAATATTTAAAATTTATCTTCAACATATTTTCAATTAAAATTTGTCGATTGCCATAAAATTGAATTATATCCATATAAAATTCATTGGAAATTGCACTTAACATCAAACCAAATTGATAGCCATAAATTTTGAATTGGCCCATGGCAATAGTGAAAAATTGCACTTGTTTATGGGCGTATGGACAAATGTTTTTCTTTTTCATAAATTTTATGACCGATCGATAGTGTTGTACATGACCACACAATTGATTCGTATCGAATGCAAACAGATTAATGGTTTTTCACACATAATTATATCAATCACACATGGCGCCATAAATAATTTCTGCATCATTTTGCTGAAACCACAAGTAAAACAAATTGCACTTTTTTTTTTTAAAATGTGAACAGGATAAAAAAGAACTATTGAACCGGACCCTTTAAAATTCCTGTAAATTTTTCTCGCCACTATAAAACCGGAATTTGCCGACAAATAGCAGTGTGTACAACAATTGAAAGAAATTAGCGCATTGTATGTTGATTGCTGCTCTTGGGAAAAGTAAATAAAACCAAGTTTTTTTTTGTCGACGGTCATTTGTTGCGAAAAAATGAAACATTGGCTTAACACACTCGATTTGATTTCGCACAAAATACAAGGAGTCAATTTCACATGATACTATCATATTTAATTGATT